AGGCCGGGCTGTGCTGACAAAGGCCTTGAGCTCGCCCGTGCGGGCGGCCGGCCTTGGGCAAACCCTGCCCGTGCTGCCGACCTCGCCTCACCCTGCTGGGCCGAGCAGGACCTCAATCGACCATTGTCTTGGTGCGGAGGCCTTGTAAGTGCTGGGGAGTCACGTAGGCCATGTGCTGCCAGGTTAAACCCCGGCTGTGGGTGCTTGCTGGAATTACAGCTCCACACTTAGTGCTATAAACCCGCTTAAAACTGGTGAAAGTGGTGTCTCATTAGCTCGTAACAATCTCTGTTTCATCTTGCTTCTGGTCAGAAAAAGGTCAAATTTAAAGCTATAAAGCGTTACGGGCTGTAAACAGCTGGTGACTGTCAGCACCTCCATTTCCGCAGCAGTAAGTACGAGATCCCAGTTTAGTTTTGGGGACCAGAAGGGATGCGCGGGGTCTGCTGGCTCCCCAGGTGGGTGAATGTCCCCAAGGGGTGTTTATGGCCTGGTGCTGTCCCACTGTGAGTTGAGCACTGAAGGAGCATGTGGCTGTGAACTGAGCTGGGGAGGGGTGGGTGTGTTTCAGGCTCTTGGGTAATGCTCTGGGACAGGGCTGGTGGGAGTGGGCACTTGCTGGGCTCCTGGGAGCAGTGTCCCCCTCCTGCATCCCTCCTCTGTGCCGGGGCTTGAGGCAGGAGCCTCCTCGGGGAGCGGGGCTGGTGCTGCTGGCACAGGGCAGCTTTGTGCCCGGCCTGCCTGGCCTGGGTGTGTTGGTGTCAGGATGTGCTGGCTGAAGGCTGGGTCCAGCTGACAAAGGCATGAGGAGCACCAGTGGCCGTTGTAATGGCAGGGATGTCCCTGGGGATCTTGCTGCCTCTGAGATCCTGCTCCAGGTGTTGCTGTGTCCTTCTCTGGGGCTGGGATTGTGCAGGAGGAGCAGAAGGCCGGGAGAGGAGGCAGCCTGCCTGCAGCAGTGCTCAGATGAGCCATCGTGGGCTTTGCGCCTCCCGAGGTGCTGAGTGAGCCTCTGCCTGCAGCGGCACAGGGCAGCCCTGCCAGCCTGTGCGGGCTCCGGGGCAGCAGCGGGGTGTGGGAGCTGGGGCTGTGCTGCCAGCCCTGCAGCCTCCCTTTTTCCAGCCTCAGCTCTGCCAGCTGCTCTGAGTGCCCTGCTCTGTGGGAAAGGTTCTGCGAGCTCACAGCAGCAAGTGCCAGGTGAGCGTATGCCCGGAGCAGGGAAGCCTCAAGCCAGAGGGGAGGCAGAGGTGCATGGTGCCTGGGCATGGCCCCCGGCGTAGGTGGGGGATGTCCCTCTGACCCTGAAAAGCAGCAGTGTGAGGGCGCTTTCATAAAGGGTTTGCCCCAGAAATACTTTGTGGCATTTGCTGCGCTTTATAAATGTGAGCCTCTGTCTTTCCACTCTGGAGTCCTGCCAATCTGGGGCTTTTAAAAGCACAGCAATTTGCCACATTATGTAACTAAAAGTCTTGAAATCTTCCTGTTCCAGGCCCCTCTGAAGAAGGTATAACTGCTTGTGCGTGGGACCTAGGAGATGGAAAGGGTTTTAGTCTTCTGTGGGATCTGATTCGAGATGATACAGTCCTTGTTGCCTCAGAAGCCTCAAATCCTGCCCTGGCTGTTGCTGTGCAGAGGAGAGTCGCTGTGGGCTACCTATTCCTGTGGATTAGTCAAGACATTTACGGGGAGCAGATGTGATATTTGCAGTCATTGCTTGGTCTCATCAGTCTTAATTACTGCAAATATGGTTATTCTATTCCCTAATAGGGCAAACTAGCTGGCTGCCTGGCAGCTGTGAATTCGATTTCCAAACACGTCTTACACGTTGCAGCTCTTCCAAAGTGGAGCTGTAAGTGTCATAACTATGTTCTGGGTGGTTTTTTTTTCTTTTTGCAAAGGGGAGGGAAGCTTTCCAATTAAACTGGCTGCCTTACATGTGCTTTTTTTTCCTCTCATTTGAAACTACTTCTGTGTGGGGGCAAGGAGGAAATCGGCAAGAAGCCTTAATGCGGTTGAAGGAAGAGCTTTCTAAAGCTGGTCTTTCTTAATAAGGATTTTCAATGAGTCAGGGAAAAATGTTGTGGCATGCAGAACTCATCATGTAAACCCTCTGGCGTCAGGCTTTGGGAATCTTGCTTCACGGTCTCAAACCTTGTTCAGTTCAAGGTTTTTCACTGTGCCTCAGCAATGCAAGAGGGGTCATGTCTAACCTGCCAAAAGTCTTTTATTTTATAGAGAGATGCCACCTGAGCACCTGCAGGAGGAGGAATGCTGCTTGCAGGGAAAGAACAAATAGGTGAACCAAACCACAGTAATTTCAGTGCAGTCACTTCAGGGAGTGGTGTGTGTCTCAGGAGCAAAAGGGAAAAAATCCCCCAACACCTTATCAGCACCCCCCAGCTCTTGCTTTGGATAGCTTTTATTGCCAGTAGTTTTAATTACTGCTAACAAGTAGATTGTATTCCTTGCTGGTAGTTTTTATTGCTGACACCTGTTAGTCACATCTTTTAAAAATGTTTCAGACAAATCAGTGTAGTTAGATGCTGCTCTGAAGTTCACTGAACACTGTGAAAGTTCAGTATGACTCAAAGCAAGAGGTGGCTGGAAACTCCGGTGTGCAGCCTGTGTGGGGAAGTGATGTTAAGCAAAACCAAGTGCTCACAGCAGCTTTTCAGAGAGTGTGAAGGGCAGGTGGGCTGCTCCCTGTGCCGAGAGGCTGAAGGTACATGGTGAGACTCTGCAGAGCCTGGCATGGTCCTCCCTGGCTGCCGGTGCCGGGCTGGTGCCATGGGTGTGTGGTGGCTCCGGGCTCTGCTGCAGGGGCTGCCTGCCGCCAGGCCCTGCTGGGGTGGGCTCAGCCCGGTGCTGATCGGGGTGCTTAGCGCTGCTGGGGTCCCCAGGGGTCCGAGAGAGGACATTGGCTCCTTTGGCTCCTGGGCATAGTTCAGCCGTGGACGTGCCTGAGGCAGCGTCTTGTAAATGATTCCTTTGTTGGAGCGTCAGAGTGGCTCAGATCTGCTCGGAGTGGCTCAGATCTGCTCGTGATGGTCATGTGTCGCACTGGCTGGGATGCAGGAAAATACCCTGCCAGTGAAAAAAGCGGTGTCTGGGTCGGGCTAAACCAGTCTTAGCGGCTTACAGAAGCCAGCCTCCTGTGCTTTGCTTCCTCCTGCCCCGCATGGGTCCAAGGCATCACCTGAGCCCATCCAAGTATCGGGTGGCTCTGGCAATGCCGGTGCCATATCGGGTGGCTTTGCTGCCCGCCCCTGGTGCAAGGTGGGAGCAGGGTCTCCCTGGGGCTTGGGGCCACCGGCTGCATCCCAACCTCAGCCATGCATCAGAGTGACACAGAGCAAGTGAAAGCACTGCAGGCGCCCATGGCACCGTAAGGTGTGCTGAGGGCATGAGGGGACGTGCCAGGTAGATGCTGGCATGTTGTCAGCTGTGGATGAGATGGTAATCGCGGTGAGCCTGAACGGATGCGTGCTATAAATAGGAGGTTGCACCTCTCTGAGCCAGCACGCTACTTTGGTGTTGTCGCTGTGCCCGGTGTGACCTGGGGGAGCTCTGGAGCTCCTGCTCGGAGGCAGCTTTTTCTTCAAGTGGAAACCTGAGCAGCAGCAGAGCAGAGACCAGCAGAGCGAGGGGTGGGCTCTGGCAAAGGAGCCTGATGTCTGCCCCCCCTTGCAGATGGTGCTTAATATGGGCAGGGGGTCTCTGGCTGAGAGGTTGGGGAGGACCATGGGGCGTCAGAAAGTGTCTTCTGAGATCTGTGGGGGGGACACAGAAGTTCTGGGGACTGCAGCGATTCCTGTTGCTTTGCATATTGTAAAGCACATTTGTGAGCATCTGCTCTGGCTGTGTTTCCTCCCTGGCACGGTGCGTGCTGCTCTCTGCTGCCTGAAGCAGCCTGTTTGTGAGTACCCACAGCTCGGGGTATGATCCAGCCGTGCTGCAGCATGGGGAGGGGTGAGCAGCCCGACGCTGCTGGTCTCCCCATTGCTCCGGGTCAGCCTCTCCCTGCTCGGCCCCTCCAAGGGGATTCCACGCTTCAGCAAGCCTGGACAGCATTTCCCTGTTTATTTTGTTTTCTAATCCCTTCTGGTTTTGAGCTTTTAAGGTGAATTGCTTTTTGTGAAATCCTCTGTAGCCTTTTTGGTAGGGGAGGAGGGGTTGGCTGCAGCTGGGTTGGGCGTGCCCTGCTGGGGCTGAGCCCTTGAGAAGCCAGGCTCTGCCAGGGCTGCTCTGGGCAGACCCAGCTCCCCTCCCCGGGCAGTGCTGGCAGCATGTGGGAGCCTTCCCCGGTCACCCCTCAGGCTAAGTTTAGCTGCAGCCTGTGACCTTCAGGGCCACCCGTGCTGGCGGGTGTGCTGTGTCACCTGCCTGGTCTGTCTTCACAGAAATTGAGGTTGTCCTGGCTCCTGTGTGTGGATTTATTAAATGCAGACACACAAGGGGAAATAATTGGCATATGCAGCTCCTGCTCTGGGGGGCCTAGGGCTTCCCGAGATTTCACAGTGTGCTGGGATCATGCTCCTGGAGAGGCTGCAGGGGCTCTGCTGCGGACAAGCCAGCTGCAACCCGAGCGGCTGCTGCCCTGCTCAGCCCTCTGCTGTGCCAGCCCAAGCTGCTGGTAGCCCTGTCCACTTCCCTCCTGTGCCCTGGCTGCTGCTGGCAAGGATGCTGCCTGCCCTTTTCGGGTTAGGACAGGGTATCGTGTCTTAAACTTGTTGTTTATAAATACCTGCTGGCCAGGGCTTGTAAAGGCCAGCCGCAATCTGAGTGTGGGATGGCCTTATGAGGCCAGTGTGCTGGTGAGCCTCGAGTGCTCGGGGGCACTGGTGCCGTGCCAGCCTTGTGAGCAGGGCTCGAGCCGTGCGGTTGGGTGCCAGGAAGTGGGGATGCAGCTGTCTGCTTTCAGCTGAGGTGATACTTTGTCCTTTGCAGATCTTTGAACCCCAACTGAGTCATTGCCAACTTGGTTCAAGATGCCACCAGCCATTGGAGGCCCTGTGGGATACACTCCCCCTGAAGGAGGATGGGGATGGGCCGTGGTCATCGGAGCCTTCATCTCCATTGGGTTTTCCTATGCCTTCCCCAAATCCATCACTGTGTTCTTCAAAGAGATTGAGGTCATCTTCAATGCGTCCAGCAGCAAAGTCTCATGGATCTCTTCCATCATGCTGGCTGTTATGTACGCAGGAGGTAAGTGGACCGGAGGCAGCAGTACCCATGCACTGCAGTGCAGGATGCGGCTCTCCTGCTAGGTCTGATGGTTCACACCTTGCTGTAGTGACGACAGCCAAAACTTTGCTAGAAGTTGGAATTCTCTCCTTACGTGAGAGCAGAACTTCACCTAGTGAGTTTGATTGAAGGAGGTTGCTCAAAAAGTTCTATTTAATGCCCAGAATGCAAAAACTGGGTTAATCTGTCCTCTGTAAGTAAAATCTTTCCGGGGAGTTATGTATGACTTGTGTAATTCTGCCCTTGTCCTTGTTACAGTATGCTGAGGACGCTGCTTCCAGCTCCCACCCGAAGGCCAGGAGGGCTGCCATGCTGTGCGTAGGAGCCCTGCTTACCGGTCCCTTTCTTTTAGATAAGACTTCTTAAAATTTTTTTTTTAAATCCAGCAAACAGTGGCAGTATATAGGGATCTGTCCCCAGTTTCTGGTGAGCTCTGATGGCCCAGCTGTGCTCTGGGGTGCACTGAAACCTGGTGCTGGCTGTTCTCCCCGGCTGGTGCCGAGCAGTGCGGTTGGCAGCTTGTGCTGTTTGAGGGCGGCAGTGTGCTCTGCAAGTACAGAGACATGAGCAGAATAGAGCAAAACTACTTAAACTGAAGCAGCTCCCTGCCCCCATCTTTCAGAAACTGCTTTTTGGAGTCCTTTAATCCCCAAGCTGTGTGCTTTATGCCTGTCTTTAACTGGTGAGGAGCAGGCAGAGTGCTCCTGCGGGGCAACGCGCTCCCAGCCCTTGCCTCTCTGGTCTCCAAACCCCGGTGTCTCATACCCGCCTGCAAACACAGCTTTGCACTGGGTCGCTCAGCTGAAAGAAACTCTTATTAGAAGCATGCTGTGTGTCCACTTCAGAGGCAAATCGGAACTTGTACCGCTGCCATCCCTGGCTGGCAAACTGCCTGCGCCCTCGTTGCATTTGTGCATCGAAAGGAGCTGACGTCAGCGCCCGGCTGAGCACAAGGCTTTTCCTTTGGGGAACAGGCTCTGCTTTGTCCTCGCTCAGCTAGCGAAGCGACCAGCACATTTCCCTGCTCCCGTGTTATAACAAGCTTGTAAACCGTGTAACTGCCTTAATGAGACTCAATCTGGGCCATTCCTCCTCTCCTAATAGCTCAGAGCCAGTTCCTCTGGGTGCCCCGGGGGTGGCACTGCCTGGAGCTGCCTGGCCGCTGGGAGGAGAGCTCCCCACTCCAGTCCTCCTGTCTCCCTCCCTCCATGCTGGCACAGCCTCTCCCACTCCCCCTGAACTGTCCCCATTAAATCCCAGCAGCTCACTGGACTTGAACTGCTTGCCTGTAAGCTGGTGACAGGGATGCTGAAGCTGCCCCAGCCCTGCTTTGGTGCATCCCGGACTGCTGGAGCATGGGAACATGCAGCTGCCTGGCTCCTTCCAGGGCTCCCGCAGCCTGAGCCCAGGGTCTGAGCTGTGCTGGGGTGGTTGCATTGTGAAGTCTGTTCCCCTTGTCCATGAGGGTACCTTCCTGCAGGAACTGTGTGCTTGCTTGGAGGCAGAAAAAGTAGCTCATGCTCTGGCAAAACATCTTATCCTGGGCTGATGGTATCGCAGAGAGCTGGGGTAGCTCCTGTCCTGGGCAGGGCTGGGGAGGTGGAGCAGTGCATTCTGCAGCCTGAGGCAGCCCCCACCCCGTGGTCTCTGTTGGGGTACATGGGTGGAATGATCTTGAATGTCCCTTTCTCAGCTCCACATTAGGATTAGGGAGGACTCTGGTTCATTACTTATTTTTTCACAGTATGAATCATCAAAATACATCAGCTAACATTTGGTCAGAAATGCTTCATGAGAATCTATAAGGTAGGAGTGGGTGTGAATTCTTCTTTTAATTAAAAAAAAAAAGAGGGCAGTGGTAATTGCCACCAGGGTACACAGTGGGTACCTGCCAGCTGGGCAGGTTCCTGCTAGCTGCCCTTGGAGCCTGCCGCTCTGGGCTGGATTTCCTGGAAGAAAGGCCACTGCCGCCTTTAGACTCTGTCCAGGGGCATCACGTTTGCTAAGTTCAAGGTACACGTTTTGCAAAATGCTGAGTGAGTGCTCTGTGGGGAAGCATGCAGGGCTTGGGGTGATGTGACAGCCCCTGGGACCTGCTGCTGCCTCCCCTAGGATTGGGGTTATGGCTCCTTCCCAACTGCTGGTGGCATCAGGTCAGAGCTGCTGGCGAGGGCTGCTCCAGCTGGCACGTAGGCACTGCTCCAGCTGCGGATAGCGGGATGCTGCAGAGCAGGGGGGCCCTCTGTGGCAGCAGGTCTTCTGTAACCTTCTCCAGGCTTTGTTTAAACTGGGCAAAAAGGTCAAGTACTGTCTGAGGACCCATGAATAACATGTTGACAACCTTGCTACCTGTTAATGGCAAAACTAGGTCTGTTAATATTCAATGGATGTTCATTCAGTTTACTTAAATACATTTTAGTATCTGTAGAGCATGCTTTGCAGTATCTAATCACTGTTTGCTTTGGATTAAAGCTCCTGATAATGAAGTACTTAAAAGGTGGGTGTGCAGAGCAATTGGCCTCTTCCTACCGTAGGGGTAGCAGTGAAAACAGAAGCACCCCTTCTCCCCAGGGTGGCATGGTGCTGCTCCTCCTGTGAGTCCTCGGGGCTTTGCCTGTGCCCATTGAAGCTGTTTCTTCACAGCTTTGTCTGGTCTTGATCAGAAACCTCTTGTTGGAGATGGGCAGTTGCTGTGCACTTGTTTTGCTGCCCTGACCCCAGCCCCAAGCAGAGCACTGCGTGGGGCAGGTGGCTTCACCCTGTCCCAAACCCCTGTCCTGTGGGGCAGCTGGTGCCCAGACAGCTCCTGGTTTAGCTCACAGAAGGCAGCTGGCTTAGAAGTCTTGGCTTTCTGTGCTCTAACCAAACATCATTCTTATCTCCAGCTGCCTCTGAACCTCCCGGCCTTCCCCCTTCCTCCAGTTCCCTCGCTGGGTGAGGTGTCACTGTGTGAAAGCTGCAAAGAAGCCTGTGGCCCTAAACCTTCAGAGTGCTTCTGTGCATCTGTCTTGGCTCTCGTGCAAAGATAACTCATCTCTGGGCATATCTTCTTTGACTCCCCAGGTCCCATCAGCAGCATCCTGGTGAACAAATCCGGCAGCCGACCCATCATGATCGCTGGTGGCTGCCTCTCGGGCTGCGGGCTGATTGCAGCCTCCTTCTGCAACACAGTGGAGGAGCTGTACTTCTGTGTTGGGGTCGTGGGGGGTAAGTGATGGCTCTGCCCTCATGGGGCTGCAGTGGAGGTAAGGCCTCTCCCGAGGCAGCAAGAGGAGGAACTAAAACCCAGGAATTGTAGGGGAATGTCTACAGTGAATGTGTAAACCCTGGATTCCTGTTCCATGCCCTTAATAAGAGACAGCCCTGGTGACATAATGTGGAGAGACCCTACTAGTGACTGTACATAGGGCTAGTGTTTGGTGCCAAGAACAGAGCATCTGCTGTTCCTGCCTCAGGTTTGGGGTGTGTAAGGTTTGTCACAAGCCAGGGCCATGCTCCCCTTTTGGCTCCTGAATTCCTGCATGTGGCTTTGCTGCTGCCCTGTGTCTCCTCCCAAGTGGGCAGCAGGGGCTGAGCACTGCTCGTGTGATTGAGAAGTTAGTACAGCTGGAACGGAGCTGTGAAACCCCCCAGCACTGAAACCCTGCTCTCCTGCCTGTCCCCCAGCCCTCCTGCCCATGCTGGCTCTGGGGGTGGTTGAGCTGAGCCCCTTGTCTCTCCTCTTTTCCTCAGGCCTTGGACTTGCATTTAACTTGAACCCAGCCTTAACTATGATCGGCAAGTACTTTTTCAAGAGGCGTCCCCTGGCTAACGGGCTGGCGATGGCGGGCAGCCCAGTGTTCCTCTCCACCCTGGCACCCGTGAACCAGCTCTTCTTCGGCATATTTGGCTGGCGTGGCAGCTTCCTGATCCTCGGCGGTCTCTTGCTGAACTGCTGTGTTGCTGGATCCCTGATGCGGCCCATAGGCCCCAAGCCAGAGCAGCAGAAGAAAGAAGCTAATAAGGAGGTGCTGCAGGAGGCTGGGAAGGTGGTGAAAAAGGACGATGGTGAGACCAGCACAGACCTCATCGGTGGCAAGACCAAGAAAGAGAAGAGCACGTTTTTCCAGACAATCAACAAGTTCTTAGACCTGTCCCTGTTCACACACAGGGGCTTCCTGCTCTATCTGTCGGGCAATGTGATCATGTTCTTCGGGCTGTTCACTCCCTTGGTCTTCCTCAGCAATTACGCAAAGAGCAAGAAGATTGCTAATGAGTCTGCAGCCTTCCTGCTCTCCATCCTGGCCTTTGTAGACATGGTGGCCAGACCTTCCATGGGACTGGTGGCCAACACCAAGTGGATCAGACCCAGAATCCAGTATTTCTTCGCCATCTCTGTCATTTACAATGGCGTGTGCCACCTCTTGGTCCCCATGTCCACCACCTATGCTGGCTTCTGTATTTATGCTGGCTTCTTTGGCTTTGCCTTCGGCTGGCTGAGCTCGGTCCTGTTTGAGACCCTGATGGACCTGGTGGGAGCGCAGCGGTTCTCCAGCGCTGTTGGCCTGGTGACCATCGTGGAGTGCTGCCCTGTGCTGCTGGGACCCCCTGTGCTAGGTAGGGCGTGCTGAGACCAGGGCGCTCTGCCTTGTCCTGCCCGGCCTCGCCGAGGTGGCGGGTCCCCCCGAGCTGTGGGCAGCCCTCGGCACTGGGGCAGGGTCAAGGGGGGGGCAAGCACCAGCATCTGGGGGGTGGCCAAGGAGGTGGGGGCTGAGCCCCTGGCATGGGGTGGGGGAGCAGGGCCTGGAGGAATAAAGGCCTGAAGCCGAGGGTGATGGGCTTGGGCTGCTTTTGGGAACATCTTCACAACCTGGAGCAGTTCTGGGGGTGTCTTGCTAAGCTGTCCCCTCTCTGTCCCTCAGGGAAGCTCAATGACATGTACGGTGACTACAAGTACACGTACTGGGCCTGTGGAATCATCCTCATCATCTCTGGGATCTACCTCTTCATCGGGATGGGCATCAACTACCGCCTGGTGGCAAAGGAGCAGAAGGCGGAGGAGAAGGCGAAGAAGGAAGGGAAGGAGGAGGAGACCAATGTCGATGAGGCTGAGAAGCAGAAAGAGGCGAACAACGACGTGGCCCCCACGCCTGAGCGCGGAGGATGGTGCCAAAGAGGAGGAGAGCCACATGTGAGGGACTGGTCTTGATCCCGGAGTGTCGGGAAAGTGCTGCTGCCCTGGCGCGGTGGTTGGGGCAGTGCTCCGCCGGCGCTGGGCAGCTGTGAGAAGTGTTTAAACCAGGTGTTCATTTTTAACCAGGCTCTGAATTGTCTTTCCATCTGTGTTCAACAAAGGTAACAGGGCTATACGCGCAGTATCCTCGTGTGTTGGGGGGCAGGGAGCTTTTTATAGTCTGGCTTTTTAACAGTAACATGAATGTACTAATACGTGCCTTACAGTCTTCATATCTAGCTGAATCTGGATGAGCCTTAACTCTCAACTGTGCTTTAGCTCTGTATTCTGCTTGGGGGGGTGTGTGTGTGTAGGGGGGTGGGTGTGTGTGTTTTTTGGGGAGTTTTGTTGTTAAAAAGCCATAAAAAGCAGGATACTGTATTTGTTGAAGCACAGTGGTCTTCAGGGCCAGCCCCGGATGAATACTGCTTCACACGCTTCTTACTGCGGCCCCTCTGCAGAGGGGGAGTTCTGGGCACGGGGCAGGGTGGTCTTTGGCTCCTGTGCCCTGTGCCTCCTGTTTCTCTAGTTGGTCTTTAGGAATGTTTTGAAAACACATTAGCTACTGTAGTTCTTTAAAATCCCTCTTCTGTAGTTGTGTTCTCATGGGATATTGGGGTTGGAGAAGGACGGCTGCGGTTCAGGTTGGGCAGCATCACCCACTCTGGGGCTGGGGCAGGCCCCGTGACCCCAGCCCCTGCAGCTGAGCCCTCTGTGGGGATGGCTGGGGTTCCCCCCTGCTCCCCAGCTCTGCCCTGGCCGTGCCTCCTCTCAGCCCAACGCTGGGTGTTGTGAAACGGGTGTGAACATGGGGGCTCAGCTGGGGGTGCTGGCCTCGGTCCCCCCATGGAGTGTGTTTCCACCAGAGCATCCCTGCACTGACCAGTCCCACCTGGGTGGGTGTTGAGGTGCCTGCCCCTGGGCAGAGCGGTGGGTGGGTGGAGATGGTACATCCCTGAGACAGGCCTTCTGCTTTCGCTCTTTTATCTCTTAGAGAAACCTCTTTTACTTGCTTCTGTTCAACTGAGATCTTAAGGCAGCGGATGCCTAACCACTCACATCTAGGACATGTAAGGGGGAGGAAAGAGTTTGTATGTATTTATTTTTTATTTTTTAGTGTTGGGAAATATCTCAATGTACGCAGAGCAGGTTCATGGCTCTCAAGTTCTAGTAAGTGTTGATCAGAAATATGTTAAGAGGCTGAGTTTTTTTCAAATAAACTTGGTTTTTTTACAATTTACCTGTCAGATGTTGAACAACTTCTTTCCTGGAACCATGCTTCTGTGTGCCAGAGGGCATGTATTTTGGGTCAGTTTTGGGGAGAGGTGAGTGGGGCTGTGGCAGAGCCTGGGTCTCCACCTGCTGCTGCAGCACCCTGATTCTCCCCCTGCGCAGGTCCCACTGGTGTTTTCATACTGTAGAGTAACTTTATAAAGCGAGCAGTGTATTTTGTACAGAAGGATTTCTTTCTGCAGTGCTGAGCTGCGATGCTGTAAGGCCGAGTGGTGGTATTTTTGTGAATGGTGTCTGTCTGAGCTGCAGTGGTGGGCTCATGTTGTGATAAACCAGCCCTGAGGAGCTGCCCTTCCTCCCTGGTTTTGTAGGCATGGGCAAGCCCCCATCCCGGCTATTCTGGGGTAGGGCCTCCCCTCAGCTGGGGTCACCTGGGTGGGGGGCTGCGGGAGGGGGC